ATCTCTAGAATGATGTGTGTTAAGTTTACTGAAAATCGGTTCAGATTTAGATATAGATCTCATATATATTTTCGTCCGATTTAATGTAAATGGTGCACCAAAGTCCCTTAATATCTTTCGGTTTGCACTAAATTTGGCACAGCGTAATGAATTAGGTCTAGATGTGTGTTAAGTTTCCTGAAATCGGTCCAGATTTAGATATAGCTTCTATATCTGACCAAATGAACAATTTAGTATCGGTTGCAGAATGACCTGTTTATGGTTCCAATTTCATTTTACTGGCCATTTAGGATTCATCTGTTGAATATGCTCAAAGTGGTGAAGTGTATCATATAGTCGGCCCCGTCCGACTTTACCACTTTCCTTACCGGTTTTAAGTATGTTTTTCTCCACTGTCATAGGCGAGGGGTTTTTAAAAATATTTTTTCTCGACTTTTATAGAGGTGGATTTTTTAAAATATTTTTTCTCCACTTTTATAGTCGTGGATTTTTTAACATTATTGCTTTCTTTACTCTCATAGGCGTGGCTTTAAAAAAAATTCTCGACTGTCATAGGCGTGGATTTTTTAAACATATTTTTTTCTCGACTCTCGTAGGTTTTGCTTTTTTAAAAATACTTTTTATCTCGTTTAAAATTTTTAATAATTTTTTTGTCATCGACCTTTGTCTTTGAGCGAGCAATCGTGGCCGGGTGAATTCATTAGTGCTATAGAATGGGTCTTCATCGATGCAGATGATCGTACGCAAAACCGTAATGAGTAAGTTTATGTTAAAAAATGCAAAACATTCCAATGGAAATACCAAATGGCGCCGGGTTACACGACACATAGTCTCCATCCTCGGAAAGTTTACGAAGTGGAACGTCTGGATGAACTGAAATTCTGGGGACAAGGCGTCAATGTTACTATTTTGAATGATTTGCCAAGAAAAATTGAACCTACAAGTTTATGTACGGTTGGTAAAAATCCGATATTTCTTTCACTTCACAGGTTTGATTTAACTGAAAATTATAAGGATTTAATCCTAATAGGGTCTTTCATGTGTCAGACTTGATATTTTTATTGATGCCTTAGTCGGTAGGTTGGGAAACCGACATTATGGTTAGAAAATGTTACGAAAAGCATTGATCACCAATACCTTTAACTAGGATTAATATAAGTATGTGCCTCTGTTGAATACCTCAAGCGACAACATTTTAATAGCATTCAAAAAAATATTTCCAGTATGTGATTCAAAGAATCCCCAACCAAACAAAACCACACTAATTTCCGATATGATATACGATTGGTAAACCTTTGAACCCTAATGAATTTCTATGATACCTACCAGCCTAGAGATAGTGTTGCTGGTAGTCAATAATTGCTAGACGTTAACAGTTTGTTGATATTTCAAATTTCACATTCGTGGACCTGTTTATAAAACTCATTTCACGTTTTTTTCTTTTCTTTTTTTGCTAATTTGTATGTATGAAAGTGTTCATTAATATCATTATGATAATCATGATCATTATGTTGGGGATAATCATGATCATGAATTCTGATTTTTTTGACCAAATGATGACGTTGGTCTCAAAGGTATTCTCCGGTAAACGTCTAGAATAACATTTATACGAATGGACAAAGCAACCAACCACCCATCCATACATCGATATATCCGACCATCCATCGATCCAATCATCCATATGCATATCTTCGTATGTATAGTTGCTGCTATAAACATTTTTATCGCCTATAACAATAATAACAAGAACAACAAATCCCCATACACCCATACCTACAAACATAAAAGCCAAGCTAATGGATGAAAGATCGAACAAAGATTTCGTTTGTTGTTATTGTTATTATTATTCGTTATTTTTGACTACACCAACGAATCGCAGACAGGTATTTCTCAGTTGTCTGTTATTAACTTTTTTTGCGTATACTCACTCGTACCAAACAAAATGTTCTACAATTTTTAACGTAGATAGAGTGGCGACGGACGCATTGTTCGAAATAATGTTGGCTAATGGCGAATTTGTAGATCGCTATATGTACAACGATATGTTGTTCTATGAAAATTCGTAGTATAGATATATAGCTAAAAGCCCACAGGTAATGCTATATATGGGTTATACCAAAACAGTGTTGGAAATGTGACATCATAAAGCCTAGAGTGGGCAGACTATACAAAAAATCTGAGAGATCAATTATTGGCAGGGAGGTTATATAGAATCTTACTACCCATACAACATATAGGAAAATATACATACCTTGAATTGTTTTGTGGGCCAAAGTGAGGTACTACATGGTATCCTTTGGATCCATAACGACCCGAACTACCGAGGCTAAGGTTTGAATGATTCCATCTGACATTTTGCAATTATTTAGCATACATGTACTCAGTACAATTTGACGTACGGTCATGTGTAACAACACAACACATAGTGACTTGACATTTTCTACATTTTCCTAAGATAATTTTTCGATTGATTTGTACGAAAGCCTGTCATTTTTAGCCACAATTTTTATATCACAATTTTATTTGCTAAATTTGGGTTGTTCCGGAACAAACTAGTTCAAATTAACTATTTCGCAAAAGGAACGATCGGTATTTGTGATCGTTAATTTTTGCTTTAATTCATTTAAAGAATGAGCAAAAATGCTCATTCTCCAAATTAACTGACGTGTACCAAAGAACTATTGAACTAAAATAAACTTAATTAATGTCCAAGTTCCTTTTGTAGTGCAAACTGAAAAATATGGAATCGTTTCAGTGACGAAATTGTCCAACTTTATTGTTTGCACCTGAATAGGGAGATTATGAGAGTTGGTTACAAATCGGATCAAATTACATCGAGTTTCAGATAATTACCAACTGATGGCGGTGCTGTATGTAGCATAGGCACAAACCATGTATGGTTACATGGTTTAATTATCTGAAACGCGATGTAATTTGATTCGATTTTTAACCAATTCTCATATTCTCCCTACCGACCGGAAGAGTGAGGTGGAATAGGAGAGACGAAGATTATACACCATGGAATGTATCACATATCGGCATAAACGTGAATCGGCCAAATGTGGAATTGATGGTTCATTCAACATACAACATTGAATTGGGCCCACATACTTCGTTTTATAAAGGAAACATTGCCACAAGATAATGAGGAAGTGATAACTATACCAACTTTCTAAAGGTTGGCCGATACAGATAATATTTAAAAAATTTCCTGAGCTTCGGAACTAAAAAAAAACTGCCAAATTGATTGGTAAAATTTGTTCTAGAAGAATTGACGTAGAACCATTGAACAACTAGAGTAGATATATGTTTTTGTATGAAATAACAATGTTCGTCTCATATAATTTAATCTTGCATACTGAAACCGTAAGCTCCGAAACCTTCATGGACTATGGGAGATCTAGTCTATGAAGGTTTAGGAGCTGACTTATTTTATTATAGTCTATATAAAGTCGGAATATGGCCGCTAGACGCTAGGCTTCGAATTTTGAATTTTATGGAAAGAAAAATTAAATAAATTGAGCAAACATGAAAAAAATGTTGGTTTTAATTAATTTGTTAAGTAGTTAAGAATATTCAGATGCCACAGAATTAGAGTTGGACAATCTAGTTCATGAGCGGTCCGATATTTTTCGGTTCGCTCCGAATTAAAGGAACTAGGTCGTTCCTTTAGTTCATTTAATTCACTCTTTCAGTGGTATACGATAGTTCATTCGGTCAAAACTGTCGAACACAACTCGGATCCGGACATAGTTCCTTTGAACTTGTTCGTTCGGAACGGCACAACTCTACACAGAATTCAACTGCTGGACGATAAACACAAAATATTGTTTTTATTATTTATCTACTTTATTTCCATAAAATATTTTTAACAATGTGGAAGCGTCTGAAAAATGAAGAAGAACTAATGAAAATATTATGGGAATATCGTCCCTTTATCGGAACAGATCCTATGAATTAATTTGTTTAGGAACTCGCCTACTCTAGTACCTAAATAAAAAAATCTTTCAACTTCGTCTTCAAGATCAGAAGTTAGACATTTATTTTGTGTTACCAACACCTTGCAAAACGAACAATACCAACTTCGGCTAGACAAAATAAGGGCTTGGAATAATAAAAAAGTCATAATAATTAATTTAAGCAAAAACGAAAAAAAGAAAAGCAACAAAAAATATGAATATAAAATATTGGCGATTTCAAGATTGGAGAGAACTGTCCAAAATGAATTGGTGGAAGTTTTGCCAATCCAGTATGTTAACGACGCATACGAGATGGATGATGCGTTGTCGTCATAGCTGCCGCTGCTGCTTGGTGGCTGGCAGTGGTGATGCCGACGACTACGTCGTTGCTTATTATTATTTTGTACTGTTGTTGTTGTTGCTGCTGCTTGCTAGTTTTAGCCAAAAAAAATAAAGAACGTTTTATTCTAGACAAGTAGAAAATTACTTGGCCAGGAGAGGGGGCGGGCTAGATTGGTCAGTTTTATTGGCCGCATTCGATCAACGGCCGTATGTAAAGAAACAAAAAACCGAACTGAACAGAACAAATAACCGGAGCAGGGAAGGGGGTGTGTGGATGGACAACAATGAAGGCCTTATAAATGCCAGTGAAGTTCTAAAAATTTAATTCAGTTTAACATTGACATTGGTTCAGACATTTTGCAAAAAAAAAAAAATCACAAACCTCCCACCAAGGAAATACAAGGGAGGTAACAACAAATTACTGGCGGAACAAGACGTATAAAAAAATCCTAAATTTCGCAAAGAATGAAAAATTAAAATTCCATTTTGAAAAAAGAATTAACGTAGTATTCCCCAGAGTGTTTAAAAATAAAACATTTTTCGGAAAAAAATTAAATTGGTGCTTGTTGTAGTGAACCAATAAATCAGACAAAATTATTTCAAACCACAAAAATAAAATTGCAAAAAAATAACGTTGTTAGTGTTACGTTACTGCTTGTGAATTCTGGTTGCATTCAAAGAACCTACGTTAAGAAATTAAAAAACCCAACAAAAATGCGTTCACTTATCTCAGTTTTATGCCTAATGGCTGTTTGGATTCCCTTTAATAAAGCCGCCCCATTTCGTAAGTATCCAATGTCCAGTGTCAAATTCAATTTGACTTTGCGGGAGGTTTTCTGAATTTGTCTGTGCCTGTGCTAAAATGTTGCTGTGTGTGTCTGTTTTTTTGGTTCTCCTTTAAAGCTCCCGAAGTCAAACGTTGCCATGCCTCCGATACCGATTGCATTGTCCGCACCTCAAATGAATTGTTGAAGATTTATGCCCGCAAAGGTTTACCGGCCGCATTCTTTCCCGTTGTCGAGCCATTCCATTTGAAAAGGGTTGAATTATCAGATGGCCGCAGTGGTTCGTTAGCATTAAAGTTGACACTTCGCGATGTCGATGTGATGGGTCTGTCGGGAGTGAAATTCGATCGTGCTGTGTAAGTTGAAAAGCAAAGAAAAAAAACAAATCTATTTACCGCCAATAATACAATAATTAGTAGTGGCAGGAGGAGATGTTGACTTTGGCTTGGAATGCAAAACCAAGCAAGTATTTAATATCTGGGCTGTTACAAATTGGGTGTCTCTGTGTGTGTGCCAATTTTTCGTAGAATTTGAAATTGAATAATTTAGCCATGCGTAACACTGCATAATAGATGAAAAATTTAAAGATTTTTAGTGACATCATTAATTCAATATTCTAGAACAAATTGTTAGAAACGTGTTTGGACACAATATTTTTCACTAGAAAAACTACATGGGATTTCTGTCGAAAGTTAGCGTTGGAGTTAATATAACGTCATGAAAAATATAGATTGAGGTCAAGCTTAGAAGTATTAATCAGTTAAATTGAAAGCCTATGACCGATTATGGCATTGTGGGTACCTTAATATAGGAAATAATATAAGGAGTGTGTTAAATAGGTCAGTACACCATCAACCGAAGCTATGGTTTTCGGAGGTCATCGAAATTACACGCAGGTTTTATTATTCGCTCTATATGAGGTATATGTTTTTATAAAGAGGTTTCGGATTTAATCTTGATCAAATCGGTTATTCAATTCGCTTCACATTAAAATTACAAGTTTATTAAATATTGACCCTTTGTGTGGAAACAGAAGGAGGGGACGAGGGATTCCATGTTACATCTTGGTTAAAATCGGTGATGTGATGTAGATGTAGGCTAGGGAAAGAAAATAGGTCGTTCAAAGTATGGTTCAAATCGGATAGTCTGTCGCATGATATTGCAAAATAAATTTTAAGCAAAATGTTGGCCATTTTGTGTGGGAGGTATCAGAAGTAGGGGACTGATATTCTCCATCTTCAAACTTAAAATAAGTTTGGAAGAAATATTAGGATGTGCAAAGTTTGGATGAAATGAGTTACAAATCGACTCCAAATTGTCTGAAACGTATTTGGTCCAATAAAACTTTGGGTCTAAACCAAGTGTCTAAGCCATAAGGCTGAGGTTATAATGAAGCGGAATATTTCTAACCCTTAGTTGGAAATTATTTTTAGGCAAATTTATGTAAAGACAACATTTTATTGGCTATGAGATGACATTCGAAATAAATAAAATAAATTGGGACTCTTCTAGTGAGCTATGTCATGGTCAATTGCGGTCATGTTGAAAATCGTTTATTAAATATTTAAAAAAAACAGAACAGAACAGTAAAGCGTTACATGGGCGGAGATTTGTCATCCAGTGAGAACCCAAAATATCCAATCGAAGCCACTTCGGTTGAAAACCTGACTAAAATGCCAAATATTGGGACTATCAGAATCATGGCCAATATTAAAAAATTTTGGTAGGCCGATGAAATTTCAAAATATAAAATTACAGACAAAACCTGGACCGATATAACCCATTTTGCAATAACAAACCATCTTGGAGTAGTAACAAGGTATACGAAAAATTTGACAGCTCTATCTTAAATATTGCGAGCTCTGTCTGGATTTCAACAGAAAAAAGGATATAGTTAAATCGAAATACAATTTTATTCCGACAAAGAATATACATTAATTATGTGGTCTTAGGGTTAATTTCCAGGTATTACATACAAAATGACAGAATTAGAATTGTTTATACCTTATCGTGAAGGGTATACAAATAATGGGGCTATATCGACAGGACGGAATATAATATGTCGGATATATAATGAACATCCTGGTTCCATATTCCTACAGAATTTACTGCGTATTTCGGGGTTCTCAGTGGTAAAACCCCTTTTTGAAAAAATAATATATACGTCCATATTACCTTGGTTTCATATATATGAGATAACGTTTATGTGTATTTGTTTCTTCTTCATAACAGATCCAATCGATATTCGGTGTTTTAATGGTCCTAGCCTCACCCAGTTTTTATTATAGGCCCAAAATCAGATTTCTGTCCGATTCTGTTTTAACCGCATTTCCCTCCAGGAAAAAATATTTTCTAACAAAAAGAATATTTTATCACGGAATTAATTGTAAATATTGAAAAAAGAGCCTTAACACCCTCTTCAAAGAAGTAATCTGCAATAATTGTCAATAGACATTCCTTCCTTAAAATTTTCCATATTCATATTTGAATTATTAGTACTCGTGCCCTGTCCTGCATATATGCCCTCAGCCAATAGCTAATACATATTCCTTCTGCAGACTAACTTTTTTAAAAATTTATTCTTCCTAGAAAGTCTTCCATTTTTTTTTTCCAAAAAAATCGTCTAATTCATTTTTATACATTTCTCTTACAGTGGCTTTACATCCGATCCTGCTACAAGCAAATTTGAATTACATGGTGATCTGGGCAAAATGTCGATTCGCAGCAAATACACAGCCGATGGACGTATTTTGATTTTGCCCATTCAAGGTGATGGTGATGCCGATATTGGTTTTGAGAAAATCATGTTCTCTGCAAAGTTCAAGCCTTCGTTGCACCCCAAGAATGGTAAAACTTATTTGGCTGTGGACAAGTTGAAGGTGTTGCTTGAACCACAAAGGTAAGGAGGATATAAAATTAGTTTTGTTTTGTAAAATATTTTTATTTATATTATTTTTAATTTAATTAATTTCTTATCTATTCCCTTTAGAATGACCATTAAGTTGACTAATCTTTTCAATGGCGATCAAGCCTTGGGTGCCCACATGAATCAATTCTTGAATGAAAACTGGAATGAAGTTTGGTTGGAATTGCAAACTGCTGTGCAAAACACCATCTCCAGTATTATGAGGAGTATTTTGGATACCATGTTCAAAGAATTTGCCTATGAAGATTTTCTGGAAGTTTAAATTCTATAAGCCTGGGGGAAGACCATAGTTTTTAAGTTATTTAGTTGTAATGTCAACATTCCACCCATTCTGTACGCCTATTTAGATAAGGACAAAAATTTACATTTGTTTTTTTTTCTGTGGTTATTGTCGTCGTTAGGTTTTAAAATTCCATTCAAAATTCACACTTACTCATTGAATCAATCATATTGTTTTGAATTTGTATCCGAACTCTTTGGTTTGCAAACAAAAATGAATTTCCGGATTTTTTATATTTTTTAATAGCCGAAGAACGCGCCAAAGAAATGCGGAAATTTTATGTTCATTTATAAATAGTTCATATAAAACCATACCTACCCACAACCATACATTCTTCATTCATGTTTAAATAATTCACACAAAAAATTAAATAAATAAAACAACCAAAATTCAATAAAAAATAAACGAAACTAAATTGACTATTGATTTGAATACGAAATCAGAGCGTTTGTTTGCTGTTGCCACCAAAAAGTGAATTAATGACAAATTGATGGCTGTGCTGGGGCTTGGACATGTCATATGCCGTCAAAAAATAACATGAAAAAGTATTGGATTTCAAAATGTCCTTTCAATGATTCCAGGAAGTAAGTGTGTACTAAAAATAGGCTCCAAAAATTAATTACGTTTATTTTGGGGATAAATTGTTTTCACGTTTGAAAATATTCACATAAAGAAATGTACATAAAATTGATCATTGGAAACGTTTATTTTGGTATTTTTATAAAAAATAATGAAATCTAAAAACACAATTTGCTACCCTGGATATACCTCCCAATTCCTTATGTCCACAACTATGTGCAAAATTTTATTTTCAAAAATCTTTAATTATACTAAAAATATTCAAAATATCTAGTCAAAATGAAAACATTCTGACAATAAGTATTTAAACTTTAAATTAAACAAAAATATTTACTTAACTAATTTTTTTGAGTAATAAAAATACATATTTATTTGATAAAATATTCGCATATTCTATATAAATATTTATATAATAAATTTAATAAGAAGCATATGTATATATATATATATTTTAAATTTCAATTGTTTAAATGTATATTCTCTCATACGGTATTCCCAACCCGCCACCAGTGAGTTACAAACGTTTGCGACAATTCGAACATATCAATTAGCTCACCATAGTGATGTCAGTGAGTGCGTCGTTTTTTATGCTCTAGTCGTTAATTGAATTCCAATATTTGAAATATTCAAATTTTCACACAAGCTCACATTATTTTTTTTTTCTGTTCAAAACACCCAGTAAAAAATATTTGGAGTAATCCTCAACCGAGCAATAGAGGAGTAATGATTTCTTCATCCATTTGGAGTAATAAGCGAGCAATGTATGAATTTTGTTTTGCCAAAAAATTCCACGAAGTTGGAAAAAAATTGATGTCTCGCCTTATGCTCCAAATGGATCAATAAGGGATGCATCAAAGCATTTTTGGCATGTTTTTTTTTGTTTGATGTAACTGTTGTTTAACTGTTGCTTTCGTCATGTTCGATTATTTCTTTATGGTTGTCCGTCCATTTGCTCAGTTTTCTTGTGTCCGTCTGAAGTGAAACACGTGTTGTAAGTGTAAATAAAGTGTAATTAAAAAAATTAAAAAAGTGTAATTAAAAAAATCAATTGGTAAAATAATGAATCAGAAGTGGTAAGCCAGAGTTTTTAATGCATAATTTAAGTGAATTTGGTACTAAAAGCTAATTATATTTATCTTTAATTATTTTCAGATATCATATATGAAACTAAAATTTGGCAAAGACAAAATAGAAAAGGCGTTACATGCAATGATTGGTGACAATATTTTGCTTCGGGTAAATTGGGATGGAGCTAAAAATAAGACAGCCATAAACAAATATCGGTTGTTTAACTTTTTTTATTTCGGTAATAGCTTGATTTTATAACGTGTTTTAAATAATATGTACATGATGTTTATTTTTCCTTTATTTTTGCAGAATCACTAGAGACACCTAAAAAACTTATCCTGAATTTGAAAAATCTTTTAAGTTGGCCTTTCGCAAATGTAAGGCAACATTTTACCGGCAAACCTACAGCCTAAAATCTAAATAAATAAAGTATTTAATATGTTTTTTTAATTATAAGAAATTATAGTACAAAAATGAATTATTTGTTTTTTTTTCGTTAAAAATAAATGATAAAATATATATTCTTTATTTTACTCTTTTCTTTTACTTCTTTACTTTCTTTTACTCTTTCAGGAGATAACAAAGATTACTCCCTTGATTCTCCTTTCCGAGATCAAAACGAGTACTCCGTCTATGCTCTTTCAGGAGATAACAAAGATTACTCCCTTTGTCCTCCTTTCCGAGATGAAAACGAGTACTCCGTCTGTCATCCAATGGGAGCTCAAAAGGAGTGCTCGCCTCCTAGGACATGCAATGTTAAAAAAGAGTATAAAATGCAAGAGAGTCGGAGATTTAAGGAGTACTCCATTGCTCGAAAAGGAGCGTCCTACGATTAATCGTTGGATGATCCAATTTTTTACTGGGCATTTCTTTTCCGTCTAACCGATTCGCTAGCAAAACCGGCATTAGGGTCTTGTTTTGGTTCGCCGTTTGTTGTTGTTGTTTTCTGTTTATTATGCACGGTTCGTAGTTTGAATAATCAATCAACGAAAGAAATGATCAAAATATAAACAAATTTACACGCACACATACACATAAAATATATGCACATTATTAGCATCTGGTTGAAAACTATGAACAAAAAAACTAGTCTAAAGGTATTACAACAGGGCACAACGACCAGACCAGATACCCTACCCTTCAAAATAGAAAAAGAAAAATAATAGGAGAAAATATTATTTTCGAAAATAAATTAAAAAATTATCATCATTTTGAACCCATCGATTATTTAAACTCGATTATTTCGAGTTTAAATAATCGATTTCTATTCGACATTATCATGGGAAAGGAACCAGAAGGAGTGGACGATATTATCCAACTTCGAACGGTATATGAGTTTATAGGAAATATTACGGTGCGTAAATTGCATGAGACACACTTTTGGTGTATGCGACCCTATTAGCTACGAGGCTTTAATGTAAGCTGGAAGGAGACTTGACTTAGGCATGGTAAAGAAAATAGGTTGTACAAAGTTTGATTCAATTCGGATACATCGGATTCGAAAAATACTATAAAATTATTTGTTTTTGCACAATTTTGTCCATTTGTCAACTCCAAATTTTCCGAAAGGGATTTGGTCCAAATAAATATGTGGTCTAAAACCAATATTTCGATATAATTGTAACAAGTTTAATAACAATTTCCCAAACTTTCTACATATCCCCACCATTCTACACCCCAACAGTGATCCTAACTTCAAATTTCACTCAAATCCACATTAGGTATCATTTAGTACTTATTAGTACAAATTTCCAAAACTTCCTACAGACCCCAATCTTACACCCTCGTTCCAGATAAGTTCACACAAAATTCAAATTGTACCAAATTTAGTACTAAATATAGTACTCATAAGTGAAAGAATTTCCAAAACTACATCCATACCCTAATCCTACACTCCAACAGTAACCTTATTTCCAAATGTCAGTGTTCCTACTCTGTCGGTTCACCCAAATCCACATTTGGTACCATTCAGTACACGTTAGTACAAATTTCCAAATCTTCATCCATATCCCAATCCTACACCCCAACAGATAGCCTACCTCCAAATTATACGATTCAATATTTCACGCAATATTTAAATTGTACCAAATTTAGTACGAAATTCCAAAACTGCCTTCATAGCCCAATTCTACACCCCTACAGTGATCCCAATTATAAATTTAAAGATTCCAGCTCTATAGGTTCACCCAAATCCACATTTGGTACCATTTAATACATATTAGTATACATTTCCATCTTACACTCCAACAGTGGCTCTAACTCCAAATTTCATGATCTGAGCTCCATTGGTTCGCCCAAAATCCAAATTGTACCAAAATTAGTACAATTTAGTATTAATAAGTATGAACTTCCAAAACTGCATCTATACCTCAATCCTACACTCCAAAAATAACCTTATTACCAAATTTCAGTGTCAAAACTCTATCGGTTCAGCCAAATCCATTTAGTACACGTTAGTACAAATGTCCAAATCTTCATCCATATTCCAATCCTACACCCCAACAGTGACTTAACTCCAAATTTTAGGATTCGAGCTCCATTGGTTCACCCCATATCCAAAATGTACCAAATATAGCACCATTTAGTACTTTTCGTACATACAAATATAAAGTTATAAAACTGCCTACATGTTGCTACACTACGATGCTAATTCCATTTGTTTCCTCAAAATTCAAATTTGTACCAAATTTAGTACTTTTCGTATACGTGGGTCCACCCTGCCAAAATCACCTCTTTATATCGACGCTACTTCTCAACCTTAATTCGCATACGAAATTTCAAGTTTTTAATCCTATCCATTCACATGCTCCGAAATGATACCAAATTTAGTCTATTTTAGTACTTTTTGGATAATTATATTTCGAATTTTCAAAACAAAAGAAAAAAACACTTTTCTGTATAAATTCTACATTCCATCAGTGACCCTTATTTCAAATTTAAGAATTCTAGCTCTACCTCTTCGCCAAATACAAAATTCTAGCTTCAGCTGTTTCGTCTGGGCGTTGATGATGATGATCAGTCAGTCAATCACTTTACTATTTTATTAGTATAGATATGAACTCTAGTTTAATAGCATCCCTAATTATGACATTAAACTTGGCTTAGATTAGCATACTTTTAGGCTGTTATTTTGAAATTAAAACATAGCTTAAAGCTTTAATTCTCATACACTGGGTCGAATATACAAATTATCTATTCTTCATGATGCAGTATCTAATCCTCATGGAGTAGGAGCAAGGTAGATGTATTACAAAATACAGATATAAATATGTGAAAAGTTTGGATTAAACGATGCATATACGATTAACATATTTTCAAACACTTGGACTTAATCAATCAACAAAAAAGTTGACCCTATGGACAATATAAATAATAAAAATTTTATGATTTTTTGTTATGCCTTTTTAGTGCAAAGTTAAGGTCAAATTAGAGACTCTTGTTATAAATTTATTTGTCAGCTAAACTACGATGTTTAAATTTGGATGAAATCTATTTTTCCCCTCAAGAGGACAATTCGAAATCGGCTTCTAATTGCCTGCATCGGATTTGTTATCTAAAGCCGATATTTATGAGGAATATTTACAAGCGAATTATTAGAATTGATTTTTATATAGAAATTAGAATATACCTTTGGCTACAGATTTGTCGATAATATATAAAACGAAAAAATATGAAAAATTGTTCCCAGGGAAGGGGAATTTCTTTACTCCCAAATTGAGTTATCTTAAGGAATGTGTAATACTTATAAAAATTCATTAAATGCTTAATTAAATATTTATCAAAATACCACGCCATTAAGGGGACCCCCCCATTCTCAGGGTCAAAATTTTTGTTGATATAATTCGAATCTACACTGATTAAAGAATGTCTCTACAAAATTTCAAGTGAAAATCTCAAGAACTCATGAAGATATATCCGATTTATTGTGTCAGCATCAAGTGACGGCTGAAGGGCTTCTCAAACTTTAAACGCGTTTTTCTCTAAACATTTTTTTGCGAATGGTTCCAAATTTTGCAACGTTTCTCTGGGAGTGTATAGCTCTCGTATGAACTAGGATAAAGCCAATCGGTGAAGATCTTCCTTATTTTTTAACTTGGTTTTTGGGAAAAAAATCGGCGATTTTCCAAAAATATTTTTTCAAATGTCCACCATTTTGTTAAACAACACCGTTGGAATTACTTTTCTAACACCGTTGGAATTTTCGGATTCCGATGATCCAGTGAGGAGTTATCATGCCCGCCATCAAAAATAAGGACTTTTCTTTAATTACAAAAAACAATAACAACTTTTTTTTGTAAATTATTTTTCTTCTCTTTTAAATCTTCAAATATATATGTGCAAAGTTACAAACCTTAACAAGCATTGGTATTAATTTACCAGCCCATTGAAAATCTTGAAAAATTAAAATCGAGAATGCGTGGGGTTCCCTTAAATAAATAAAACCAGTTTCATGTTTTTATTATAACAAATTAAATATTTCGATACAATGTGTGTCAATATATTGTATTATATTTATTTGGAATATTTAAAAACAAATATTCTATACCGGAAGAAATTAATTTTAAAATAGGAATAATAAAATATTATATTTTTATTTATGCCAATTTCTTTTTAAATTTAAATATTTTATGATAATATAATATTTTTAATAATAAATGTTTATGTTTAATAATAAATAAATCATGGTATAATTAATATATATATTTTTTCACAATCACAATACTTAATATTTATCTGATCATTAAAAGTTTAAATTTGAAGTTCAAGTTCAGTTATCAGAATGTTTATTGATAAAATTAATCGCCTCTTTTTTGGTTTGTTTTATAATCGCACATTAAATAATACATTATGTTTTATTACATTAAACTAAAACATAAACATTCACACGTGCTGTCACACAAACTAAACTAAAGGCAAAAAACTGCTACTACCTCACTCGCCATGACAGTCATTAGTACGAGGAGTAGCAACTAACTACTGGTATTACGTACTTAACTAAAAAAATTAACTTTATAGTTTTATTAGCTTTATGCGAATGATATACGTACAACCACACATATCATTTTTTGTTTACATCTAATAGATCGTAATGTTGAAAGTGTCAACAACTAACATGGAACTAGTTATATTATTAGTTCCAAATAGTATGTGATCATTAGCAGAAAGCGCAAGAAAAATTTTTGAATACCACTTCAAATATTTAAAAAATATCCAAAACTAATACACAAATTTTGGCACTTTCAGTTAAACTTATTACAATGGTTTGTCAAATATATAATGCGAAAACTATTAGGAAAATATTAGTAAAATGCTCAATTGGCCATTTTTAGATTTTCTTTATAATAAGTTATTCATGTTCAGATATTAGACAGGGTCGAACTATGTGGCGGCTCTGATTGGTTTTTGTATGAGTTTGAATGATTTCGGGGCAACAAAAAACATGTTAACCAGCACCAGATTCAAGAATCTCGATATACACAAGGCCATCTGGATTTTTCCTGATCAAGCAACGAGAAATCAAATTGACCATGTTGTGATAGACGGAAAACATTCATCCAGTGTTTTAGACGTTCGATCGGTACGAGTAGCGAATATCGATTCGGATCATTACCTTGTGGCTGCCAATGTTCGCAGCCAAGATGCGATCTAACACAACTGGGAAACTCGACGTCGAAATACTGCAAACACAACAGGTAGCAGAGGCCTATTCCGTTCAACTTACCCAACTGCTTGAAGAAAGCATTTCTTGTCCCGATAATAGTATAGAATCACAATTGCCCACTCTCTACAAACTCCAGCAAAAGCAACACATTGGTACCAAAAATCACCATCAAGAAACCCTTGGTACGATCAGGAGTGTCGTAATGCTACTGAGTTGAAAAACGAAGAGTATATTGCAACCCTGCAAACAGCATCAACACGCAATGCAAGAGAGAATTACCAGGAAAAAGGAGAGAGAAGAAACGTATTTTCAAAAGAAAGAACAAGAAAAAGGTGAGCGTGAGCAAATCGAAATGTATAGAAGTGACAATGAAGCCCGGAAATTTTACCAACGAGTAAAATATCAAACCGAAGGCTTCTGTAGAGATGAAGAAGGACACCTGGTGACATATACAGACGGCGTGTTGAGGATATGGAAGGAGCATTTTGCTAAGATACCTCAGAACCAATAAGAGATGACGGTATGGATGGTAACCACCTAGCCACATGAGGTCACACTTCGCCTAATCCTCGAAAAGACACACGAAAAATACATGGACACATTCCACCGTCGACTACAAAGCCAATTCGACAGTCCAATCCGCTCAGAGGTGTTTAAAATTAATACACAGGATAACTTTAGCTGGCACAAGGTCAGCAGTTAAAGTCGGAAAGGACCTTTCAGAGCCCTTCAATACCGAACGAGGATTCAGACAAGGTGACAGTTTGTCGTGTAACCGTTTAACATCCTGCTGGAAAAGATCATACGAGATGAAAATGCGACTGGGACTGGTAGTAAATGGCGAGAAGACCAAGCTGATGATATCAACGCGCAAGACGTCCAGTAGATTCGGACCAAATGTGGATCTTGAGAAATAAAACTTCGAGGTAGTGAACGATTTTATATACCACGGTACCGCCATAAACAAAACTAATAACATCATTTGTGAAGGATTATGATATACAAACATTCGATTACAACTTTCGAGAGATTGCACGCGCACCATCCACACAAACTGACCGCGACGACTGTTGAAGGTAGTAACAAATTTCATCTAATGTTTGTAGATCACAATAACTTTTCCAAACTCAAATAAATTGAAAATAATGGGGAATATCGGTCCACTTCTTCATAATATTCGAACGGAGATTAAAATTTAAAACGAACGTTGCCGAACCTCATGTTTTAAATATCCACTAGTAGATGACGCTTATCGGTACCAATCTCATCAAGTGTCAACATTTTTAAGAAGTATATATCTAATATAAATCGAAATAAGTATCCGTTTTAATCCAAACTTTTCGCATTTTACTACATTTACCAAAGTCAAGTCTAAAGATTGTATTCATCGTTCTGGTATTTGGTACTTCCCCTTAAAGGGTTGATATTTTACATTTAATATGAAGCAAATGGATTATCCGATTTGATGCATTAATTGCATATCACCATTTTTGTACCAAATCTACCTTAAATCTGAACATAGACACACTTACTGGTTATTATATAATTAAAAATACAATTAAGAGTGTCTAGCAAATCTCTTTTTTTCTCAATATGAAGCCTGAATATATATATATTTAATCGATTATATTTTTGGATACATAAACAAATATATATTACCTAAACAATTATTAAAGTTATGGAAATAAATGATCAGAGTTGTGGTCTATAACTTGTTTGAACATGTTCATAATTAAAAGTTTGTCACAATTAATTAATGCATCGTTGGGATAATGCCGACTGCGAACATTAATACAAATAATAATATGGATACACAACTTCTAGATGATACTAAAAATTAATTAAGAATAAAAGTGAGAACAAATAATCTAATGTATAGTTCTACTATATATTCTAATAAAATATAAAACATATGTTCCAAAATGTAGAACATTTTAATTTTGCAAAATCATTCAGAACTATTATATTTTTGTATTTTTCGAAATGTAAAACTAAATAGAACTGGATATGATAATTTATTTTCAATAGCTCATCTCAAAATATGGGCTAAAAAAAAAACCTGATTAGCAAGAGGTCTACTACTCGTGCTGACACATAAAATGTGCGTTTTAATTAAATCGTTATTGCAGCTATTTATTGCCCAAACTATTTAAGAATATGAACAAAAATCAATTCCAATTTTTATTAGAAACATTTTATTGCAAAATAATTAAATATATATTTTTTAAAGCGAAAAATAAATCATTTTTATTGCATCCAATTTGGTACCTAAACGTGCCGCACCTGTCTATTATACCAAGAGCAAATATGTATCTCTATCTCTCACGCGTCTAGAACAACAACACTCAATCATCTCAGCATTTTCGGCCAACATTGAAGACACATCTTAGCCAAATCCAGTTTACAATTCTATTCTAGTATAAAAAGCCAAGATTTTTGTTGCCAATTAGCAGTCGTTTGGATTAGTGTTCTCAAAAAAGTCGAACGCTTTCGATTTCATTAAAACAAAAACTAAATAGAAAAATAATCAAAACAAACTAAAATGGTCCGCACGAAGTTGAGTCTGTTGGTGACACTTGCCATCTGCCTATGTGTGAATGCCAAATTTCGTAAGTTTCGGAAGTGAAATAAATAAAAATAATCTAGTCAAGCGGAAATTGCCATATATTTATTGTTCTTTGATGAATAATAGTGTGACTCGAAATACAATTGATGTGAATAAAATGACGGAAATTATCCTTAAAATTCGGTGAACTATATCTGAGGGAATTAGAAAAAAAGATGCAAAAGAAGTTTTATAATAAAAAATATACGAAAAAACTAAGTTTTCTAAAGTGAATTTAAATAGACGAGTCTCTATTGACTTCTTGAAGAAAGTTTTTGTAGACTAATTGAAGGAAGTATTCAAAGACAAGCCGAAGACGAGCTGAAGGTAGTTTTTATAGACGAGCTGATGGTAGTTCGTATAGACGTGCTGAAGGTTGTATTTTATTTGAGCTTAAGGGAGTCTATATTGACGAGCGTTAGGGATTCTTTATAGATGAGCTGAAGGGAATTTTTTTTAGAAGTGCTGAAGAGAGTCTTTATAGACGAACTGAAGGGAGTCTTTATAGACGAGCTAAAGAGAGAGTTTTTAGATGAGCTGAAGGGAGCCTTTACAGACGAGCTGAAGAGAGTCTTTATAGAGGAACTGAAGAGTGTCTTTATAGAGGAACTGAAGAGAGTCTTAATAGATGGAGTCTTTATCGACGAACTGAGGCCAGTCTTTAAAGTCGAGTTAAAGGAGTAATTATAGACGAGTTGCAAGAAATCATTATAGAAGATTGAAGAATTATTTTCATACGAGCTGAAGGGATTATTTTTAGACGAGCTGCAGGGAGTTATTTTTAGACGAGCTGCAGGAGAGAGCTTATACGAGCTTAACGGAGTATTTATAGAAGTGTTGAAGGGAGTCTTTGTAGACGAGTTGAATGGAGTCTTTGTAGACCAGCTGACAGGAATCTTTATAAACGGAGTATTTTTAGACGAGCTAGGTGAGTTAAAGTCAGGGAGTTGAATTCTTGGAGTCTTTATGAACAGCCAGAGGAAGTGAAGGTCAAGCTGAAAAGAGTATTAAAAAAAAGCCGATAGGAGTATTTTGAGCCTTTTTTGAGAGGAAATTCTGTAGATTAGACGAAGGGAGGGTTTATAAACGGTCTGACGGATGTCTTCTTAGGTGTGCTGGAGCGGATTTATATCAACGAACTGTAGGGACTCATATATACGGACTTATAAACACACTGAATAATTTCTCCACTCATGTACATTTGATTGGACAAGATATACTGTACGAACTCATCTATAACTTTTTAACGATTACAGCATTTTAATTATAATATAAAAAAAACATATTACTAGTATTACACATTAATTTGATCAAAGTTTACACTTAGCTAAACCCTGAACACTTAACAACTTTACATGTCGTTTTTGTTTTTCAAAGATTATAATCAAGTACAGACAAGATTATAGATCTAGGAGAAAGGTCTCCGCAATAGATTGCAACAACAATAAAAAAAACAATATTTGTTTCCTGTTACAAAACTGGAAGTGGATTTTATTGAGTCATATAAATTGTAATTTAAACTGGCTTTTTACTATTTTTCTTTTCTTTAATTGGCAAACTACTAATAATCGGAATGATGATTTACGTTAATGGCATCTTCCTGAATTAAACAAAGTTTCAATATGAAGCCAATGTATTTGGTATCAATCACAAAAATGAATATTAGTTTTTCCAAATAATTCTCAAATATTTTTAATTTTTCTAATTACAGCTGATGATCCGAAACCTTGTAAATATGGCGACACCGATTGCATTGCCAAAGGTTTGGAATATTTCCTACATGAAAAAAACCAGGGCGATGGATCCATAAATCTCATTGCCATTGATCCTTTGGTCATTAAGGAAATCAGCATTAAACAAGGAGCCGAAAGTCCTGTCAATATCGATTTGCAATTTATCAACAATAAATTGACCGGCTTGAAAAATGCCAAAGTGGTGAAAGTTAAGTGAGTATTGGTGGAGGAAAAAACGAAAGAAGAACTTAAATGTATTTTGTAATATTTTTAATTTTAGGGGCTTTGGCAAGGACCTGGCTGGAAAACATGAAATCCATCTAATGGCACCTGAAATTGAATTGGCCGGCAACTACAAAGTAGATGGTCGTATTTTGGTATTGCCCATTACTGGAACTGGTACCAATAGCATTAAGTTGAGTATGTAAAAAAATACAGCTCTTAATTTATGTCATTAATTTAATTTAATCTTTTTCATTTCACTTTTAGTCAACGTCACTCTCAAAATGCAATTTGTCGGTGTGCCCATGGAAAAAGATGGCAAAACCTATTTGAAAGTTGAAAAATTCCGCATGGACTTGGACCCAAAGGGCATACATTTCAAAATCGATAATTTATTCAATGGTGACAAAACCCTGGGAGATAACATGAATTTGTTCCTGAATGAAAATTGGGAAGATATTTATCGCGAATTGAGAGGTTCCATTACATCGGCCTTTGGCAAGGTTTTCCAAACAGTCATTGGTCATGTTTTTACCAAATATCCATATGATATGTATTTGGTCGAATAGAAACATAGAAAAATGTGATATTATTTTGTTTAGTTAATAAATATTAAGTATTCTATAAGTGAAAAAAAAATTAAAAAAAACTGTATTTCACATTGAAAAAATAAGAAAGAGCTGATGGGAATATGTATAGACAAAATGAAGGCGATCTTTACATTGCGTCTTTGTAGGAGATCTGTAGGGAGTCTACAAACAAGGTGTAGGTATTCTTTATTGGATATCTGGAGGATAGACGAGATAGATTTATAGACGACCTAAAAATAATAAACCCGACATAAGAAAGTACTCCTGGACGAGATAAATAAGACTATATTTATCTCGTCCAGGAGTACTTTCTTATGTCTTAACTTGATAAATTTTTATGGACAAGCTGAAAGGGGTATTTATAGACAAGCAGAATGGAGTGTATAGAAACGAGCTGCAAAAGTCTTTATATGCGAGCTGACGGGAGTCTTTATAGAAGAGCAGGAGGGATACTTTTCATACCAGCTTGATGGAGACTTCATAGAACAGCTGAAGGTAGATTTCATAGATGAGCTGGAGGAAGCATTTGCAGGCGAGCTGGTGGAAGTATTTTTACACCAAGTAGAGTTAGAGTATATAGGCGAATGGAGGAAGCCTTTATAAATTTATAGAAAAACTGGAGGGGTCTAGATGAGTTTTTATACGACCTATGAAAGTCCGTTTCTTTTGGGCGAGTCGAAAGATTTTGTATACCCTCAGCCTAATGATACAACAAAAATGTGTCTCATCGAAATATCGGTTTTAACCCCGCGTTTCTTTGGACCAAATCCGTTTCAGACAATTTGTCGAACGATTTTTTATACCCTCAGCCTTATGGCTAATGATACGACAAAAATGTGTCTCATCGAAATATCGGTTTTAGACCCCATGTTTCTTTGGATCAAATCCGTTTTAGATAATTTGGAGTCGATAGATTTTGTACACCCTCAGCCGTATAGCTAATGATACGGCAAAAATGAGCCTCATCGAAATATCGGTTTTAGACCATATGTTCCTTTGGACCAAATCCGTTTCAGAAAATTTGTCAGCCTTATGGCTAATGATATGACAAAAATGTGCATCATCGAAGTATCGGTTTTAGACCACATGATTCTTTGGACCAAATCCGTTTCAGACAATTTGGAGTCAATTACAAATGTCCTTCCGTCTGTCTGGCCGGTTAGTGCGCACGATAACTCTCGAAGAGAGTAACCGATTTCGTCCAAACTTTGCACGTCGTAATATTTCTTCCAAACTTAGTTCAAGTTCGATGATGGACCTGGACCGATATGGTCCATCATCGAACTCCTTTTGATATCTCCCCCACAAAATGATCACCATTTTTTTTTTTTTTTTTGAATTTTTATTTTGTAATATCATACGATCAGATTTGAACAAACTTTGTAGAACCTATTACCTTTACCAAGTCTACCTCAAGTCCGAAGATGGGACCCATTGGTCCGCTCCTTCTGGTACCTCCCCCACAAAGGGTCAAAATGTTCAGTATTTACAAATCCAAATTCTTTACCAAGCCTCCAACAACTCCCCCACAAACGGTCCAAATTTTCAATATTTATAAATCCAAAATCAGTCGAATAGACTGTACAATTTGAATCAAACTATTCAAAAACCATTGGCCCACGCTTTCTAGTACCTCCCCCACGAATGGTCAATTTTCAATATATATAAATTCAATATTAGGCGAATTGAATGTCAACGAGTCTTTAAGAAAGAAGTTGAATTTTCTTATAGAAGAGCCTATCCAGCTCTTCTAAAAAAAAAAAAACGATGCGGAGGAAGTTTTTAGAAGAGCTGGATTACGTTTTTATATAAGATGTGGAGATAGAGGTAGAGGGCGCCTTAATAAGCATGTTTTCATAGAGAGTCTTTATATGCGAACTTCAGCAAGTATTTGTAGATTAACAGGATCACGTACACAGGGTTTCAATTCGGTGCGCCGGCTACTGCTGTATGCCGAAATGAATTCATTGTATTCTTGGATACATCCCTGAGCATCACTAAGTGTTTATGCACGATCAGAGGGAATCCGTTTTTTCCTATTTAATTTTTTATAGATTAAGTGGGAAAAATAAATAGGACCAAAATCCCACAAGTTGATTCTATGGTTGTACTCGTAATATAGTTATTACATAATTGTATACACTTGTTTTTATATTTATCAAGTGATAGTGATTTACTATACCTACCTATATATCTGATTTATTTAATCCCATTACAAGGAAATCTGTCAATTACCTGTCAAGTGTGTAGATTATGATAAACAAATTACAAATCTTTGCGATTAGCTTGAATTCTAATGCATTTGAAATTATTTAATAATGGCTCTTGTCACACACGGCATTCTTGGGCAAGTGATATTTCAATGTCATAGAAAAGACAATCAAGAAATCAAGATACTGGAAGTGTCAATTGTTAATGCAATTATAATTTCACACATCAGAAAATGTGGTTCTTCCAGGAAAAGTATATATTTTTTAAGTCAGAAAATCCATTAGCACCTTTCATTGAAAAATATTTTCTTTTTAATAGAAAATATGCATAGCATTACAACCACCTTTAGTGCATATAATATATAGTGTAGGCTAATAAATAATAAACCCTTGGCCCATAATAAAAATTCCCTGTATTTAATATTTAACTGTTTTCATACATTGTTCTAACAAACACAATAAAATAAAATATTAATAATATTATTATACCCTGGTGTATAAATTTTATTATTTGTTCATTTAATCGGAAGTCATCGTTCTCTGTAATAGAAATCTGTAAGTTATTCATTTGAACAGGAAACCAACGCTACAACCAGCATTGCGAATTGTCGACGTACTTGGATTAAAAAAAATACAAATAGAAATAAACTTAGCTGTAAATTCAATTTAACAATAAAAAAAAACAAAATAAAAGGAGAAATCTATTAAAATCTTCGTCTACAAATGGTTGGTCGAATAGTTTACTAACAACTTTCGTTTAGTTCGGTTTGTAATTACGGCATTAAAACAACAAAAACAGCAATTACAACAGCAGCAAAATAAAATGTTTATTCGGAATTTTGCAAATATTCTATTTTTATGTTCCAGCATAGTGTCATTGTGCGGGGTGGCAATTGGTGGTTTTCGTAAGTGAAAAAAAAACGAAATCTTAATGTGAACAAAATCGATTTTGGGAGAAACATGGGAATTCGATTCGAACCTCATGATTAATTTAATGGAGTTGATATAAAAATATGTTTGCTAACACAAACGTAATGAAGCGGATCATAATAGACGAACTGAATAGGCTATGTTTAAAGACCAGCGGAATGGAGTCATGGTGGAGGGACTCTATGAATTAGCTAAGGGGAATCTATCGATATCAGCTGGACAGTCTGGAAGTCCACCAGAACTCGATAGTTTCCCCATAGCAGTCTTTATAGGAAAGTCGAAAGCAACATTATTTTATATAAAGCCCTTTAGCCATAAGGCAGACAGTATAAAAAGACATGAATGATTAAATTTTTTTGGGGAAAGGAACTATAGACATTGTAAAAAAATCTCCATTTACAATAAATTGATCGAAAATATTATCGTCGATTAAGTTTTATTTTAGATTTTCATTTTTTCCACTTCTATAAAAATACTTTTTTAACATTTCAGCTGATAATCCAAAACCTTGTAAATATGGCGATGAAAAGTGTATAGGAAAAGTTATCGAATTTATTTCACATGAAAAATATGCAGGTATGTTGTAACAAAAAGTCACGATGAAAGGATAATTTATTTATTTCATCTCGTTTCTATTGCCCCTCAGGCGATGATAGCCTTAATTTGGGTATACTCGATCCCATACCAATCAAAAAATTGCACATCAAGCAGGGCAGTGATAGTCCGGTCAACATTGATTTATTGTTTACCAACAATGTTGGCATTGGTCTAAAAACTACAAAAATTTCCAAAATCACGTAAGTAAAGGCTTAAAATATATATAAAAATATATACATTTAAATTTTCATTGCAGAGGCTTTGGCAAAGATTTAAAAACCAAACATGAAATTACATTTAAAGCGGATACAATAGCACTGGCCGGTGACTATAAAATTTCGGGTAAAATTTTAATATTACCCATAAGTGGTTCGGGTAAAAGTAAAATAACCATGAGTATGTATCTGAAAAAAAAAAATAAATGTATTTATTTTTCTTATATAGTTTATATTTTGTTTTCCTAGTTGAACCTGTCGTCAAAATCAGTTGGATGGGTGCTCCCAATGTTAAAAACGGTGAGACCTATATGAAGCTGGAAAACTTCGCAATTGAAGCTCAACCAAAGTCGGTTAAATTTGCTTTGGACAATCTTTTCAACGACAAGGCGCTCAGTGATAATATGAATAAATTTTTAACCGACAATTGGAAAGAAATTTATGGTGAAATAAGCGGTTCATTGACTCGTGGTTTGGGCGTGATAGCCCGAAATTATATTCAAAATGTTTTCGATAAATATCCATATGAGAAATTGTTTACAGAATAAATATTAACATATATATATATATATATTGTAGCACATGATGATGAATAAATTTTATGTGAGACAGAGGTGTTTTTTTTTATATCGTAATGAATAGATGGGGAGTTTTTCACACAGATTCATATCGAATGATAAAGTTACAATGAATGAACAAGCATTTGCAATCTCTCATTTTTTCAAATGATTTTTTTTATTCGCGAGCATTCGTTGCTAAAGAGCATTCGTTGCCGTTGGTGAGCGAACATTAGCGAATATTCGTTGTCGTTCGTGAGCGCAACGAACGATCGTTGTTGTGAGCTCTCACTCACTTGTAATGTGTGTGCGAATATTCGTTTGGCGATTGCTCGAGCGTGAAAGAGCGTTATTTTAATTACACTGTGCGACACGAAAATTTTTCAGGGGTTCTAATGTACCAATTCTGTTTAGTTGGAGTCCCTGGACCACGAAAATACCTTTGGTTTTTCTGGGTCACTTCGAAAATTAATTTTATAACGGTAAATATAGAGAAAAACGTGGTTTCATGGATTTTCCATTTGAAACTTGAATAACTTATTTACTTTATAACGGATTTATATTATTATTTTTTTCTTTCGAAGAGTACAATTTTTCCTTTCAAACAAGATATATATTTGGTAAATCGGTTGAGTATTGGCTGAGTTACAGCGGTTAAAATGTGAAAAAATACGCCTAAAATGACAAAATTTATTTTTCTTCGGACTGTACGATGAAATTATGATATCAAAAAAATCGGTTAAAAAATGGATGACTTATGCACATTTTTGTATTGATTCTATGCATATTCTCTAAAGGAACTATGGGTCTATCTCGTTTCCTTTTGCCTGCTACAAACATAACGGTTTGTAACAGGAAACGATACAGACCCATATTTCCTTTAGAGAATATGCATAGAATCAATACAAAAATGTGCATAAGTCATCCATTTTTTAACCGATTTTTTTGATTTTTATCATTTTCGAAAGCTAATTTAATTTTCTTCCCCGTAATATAATAAAACTTATATGGTTTGATATCATAATTTCGTACAGTCCGAAGAAAAATAAATTTTGTCATTTTAGGCGTATTTTTTCACATTTTAACCGCTGTAACTCAGCCAATACTCAACCGATTTACCAAATATATATCTTGTTTGAAAGGAAAAATTGTACTCTTCGAAAGAAAAAAATAATAATATAAATCCGTTATAAAGTAAATAAGTTATTCAAGTTTCAAATGGAAAATCCATGAAACCTCGTTTTTCTCTATATTTACCGTTATAAAATTAATTTTCGAAGTGACCCAGAAAAACCAAAGGTATTTTCGTGATCCAGAGACTCCAACTAAACAGAATTGGTACATTAGAACCCCTGAAAAAAAATTTTTTGTTATTTTGTAGCACAGTGTTATTGGCGTGCGAATTTTTGCGCACCCTGTCTGTTAGTTACATATGATTTTCTGTATGATTGCTATAAGATGAGAACTTTTTGATAGTGTTCTTCATATTGAAAACCGGCGGAGGTTCTCCACTATCATAAAATTCCTTTGGAAATTAATAAAACTCCATTTGAAATTCATAACATTTGATTTGAAATACATAACATTTCATTTGTTATGTATTTCATAACATTTTATTTTAACTTCGAAAAATATTATTAGTAACATACAAAGAATATGTATGCATTTTAAATGTTACGAATTACAACTGAAATATTATGAATTACAAGTAAAATATCATGAATCTCAAGTCGGATTATTCGAATTGTAAATACATTTATTTGAAGTTCAAATGATTTACAAATGAAATGTTATGAATTACCAATTACATTCTCCAATTACAACTGAAATGTTATGATGTGCAAATTGAGTTTTTGAAATACAAATGAAATTCTCGGATTGCAATTGAAATATTTTGAATAACATTTGAAAAAAGGTGTAGATGAAGGGAGTTTTAATAGAATATCTGAAGAGAGTGGTTATATAGCTGCTGGAGAGAGTCTTTATATATGAGGGAAATGGGGTTATTTATAGGCTTGGATGAATTTGTATACATGAGCTGGAGTAATCATTTATAGGTTAGCCATAAGAAGTCTTTATAGACCACCTGAAAGACATTTTAATCGACGAGCTGGGTAGAGTGTTCATAGACTATAATGTCCTTTGAAAGCACTATCCTATAGATAAGTCATCTACAGCATTAAGACTTTCTGAAAGATAGACTAGCTTTTGAAGGTAGATAGGAGACTTTATCAAGATAGAAATACCTTCTGACGATCTCCTTCTATGTAATACATTCTGAAGGTAAATTATTCATCGACGACCCTCTGAATGTCTCCCATTAATAAAAAACCTGTCGAAGTTTCCCCATAGTAGGCGGACACTGAAGATTTCTTATATATTAAAGACTATCTGAACGTAATGAATCTATCATAAAGACGATCTATCCAATTGTTGAGGATCTTTCGGAAGACCTTCAATAGGGTATATATATATATAGACTTATTTCAGAATATGTCATTTATACTAGTCCAAAATGAAGCTTATATCCAGAAACCTCAGATTACTTAATTCTGACAGATGCTAATAACTAAGACAGTATATAATTTACATGGAGTCTATGTAACAAGTAAATATTTTGTAAACAACAATTTCTTCCAAGATTATTGTAATTATTCGAATTGAGTGAAAAAAATGCAACAGTAGCAATGATAATTGAGAAATTATATTCATTAAAATAAATTCCTCTAATTATTACAAATAGCTATTATTTACAAGATAAACCAGAATTGCGATAAAGAAGATTAGAAATTAGGTCGGACGATAAACCGAATATTAAATACTCGGTTTTATAGGAAAAATAGGAAAAGGGCAATATGTGTTTTTTTGAAAAATCTATCAAACTAAGGACATTTTAAAAAAAGAAACAGAAGGATGTTTTTTTCAAAACAAATTTATAAAAATAAAATATTAATTTAGAATTTCCACTGCAATGCCTACATACTTTCCAACAATGTTTTTTATCGAAGATTTTTATTTTTTGTAGCAATTATCAAGGGTTAAACAATTCTTTATAATAGAATAATATAAGGCCATATAGTTTGTTTTATTAAAAAACAAATTCCAATATTAATTATAGTTTTCAATGAGGAAATTTTTTCACTTCATAAAGTCCAACAAAACTTAGTATTCGATTACCAATGTTTATGCCTGTTCTAAGAATGTAAACCATTTCGAAAATGATTCATTCGATATGATATAAAAAGACCGAGTTCTAAGCCATGGCGTTATAGTTTACAAAGATACTCAATTCTATTTGGAACGAAGGTTTAATCAACAACGACGCAAAGAAAATGGCAATTAAGCTCTTAACATTGCTAGTGGCAGTGATTGTTATTTGTGGTGTAAAGTGTGATTTTCGTAAGTGAAATGCAACAATAAGGATAATATTCACAAAATTAACGATATTTTAGAACAAAAAATTAAAGAAAAATATAAAATGTATGAACATCCTGTTGTAAAAATGTAGTCATATTAAAATATTATTAAAGTTTATTGTGTTAGAAATCGGGTGTTTAAAACATATAATGAAAAAAATCTTCGATATATTCAAATGAATTTTGTCTATATTAAAAATAGAAACTACCATGAAAAAGTCGTAATGAACTTGAATAACAAACTTTTATTGAAATCTATGAATATATTCCCAAAAGGAAGTGCTACGAATAACACGACATTTTACAGCAGAATACAAAAAAAAAACAGTGTTTTCCTGATAAAAATCACAATTTTTTTATAAAATTTGATTCATTACGGATTTGAAAGTTCACTTTTTAAATTCAATTTCGCTTAAAGGCAAGATAGATCCTTATGTCCTTGTGGTGATCGGGTTATTCGTTTTCGAGGTACAGTGGGTACAGCAAATAGCTCTAAGAAAAACAGTGTTAAATTTAAATTTTTAAACCCGAGAATGGGGAAAGGCTTATAACCTGAACCTATATCTCACATCTTCAGACTGAGACTGAGTACTGACAACAAATACGAAAGTTACTACATACAACACTATATGAGGCTGGTCGCCAGTTAGGAAAACAAATTTCGACGTACGAACATGTGTTGTGTTTTAAAAAGAAAGCCGAACAATTTTACTATTTACAATTTTACTTGGCACAATTTTAACCATTTTGTGTGGGAGGTACCAGAAGGAGTAGACCGATATTCCCCATCTTCGAACTTGAGCTAAGTTTGGAAGAAATGATGTGATGTGCAAAGTTTGAATAAAATCGTTTATTCCCTTCGAGCATTAGACATACGGACGGACATTGATAAATCGACTCAGCCATGTGGCTGAGGGTCTGTATTATTGTTGCAATATTATTTCTCATAAAAAATAAAATATATAGAAAAGAGAAGAGTAGAGATGGAAAATAATGCTCACCGTTTCACTGCTGGATATCAAGTGAAGTTAGGTTTTTAGGTTACATCGATCAGTTTTACAATTCCCAAAATAGATTTAACGAAAGTAAGCATAACATATGGCAATTCACAATACGCTTAGTCCAAAAGCCAATGGTCGCCTGACAAAACTGGCAATGTGAAGATTTTTTCGGCTTGAGCAACGTAAGACGATGAATTCTGGGTGGTAATCGGAAAAATATAATATATTCGGATGATGCGTATGAAATGTCGGATTCTCTTTACATGCGGACATTTTTCACCCTGTTTTCTTTATACTTTTGTCTTTGGCGTATTGTCCATTGTCAGATACTCATTTCATCAAAATAGGTTTTCCCGAAGGTCTTCCCTTTTGTTATTTCTTTTGAGTTTATTGCCGATATGAATTCTGCCGACATTCGCGTCATTTTCTTATATGAGTACAAACTTGGTAATAATGCTGCAAAAGCTACACTCAACGTAAACCAAGCGTTTGGGGAGAATACGGTTAACGATCGGAAAGTGCAGCGTTGGTTAGCAAAATTTCGGACTGGCGATTTTTCATTGCAAAATCGGCATGGACCGGTACTGCTCCATAACAAAGCTCGGCCGCATACATCGCACAAAACAATTGCGAAACTGAACGAACTGGAATGTGAAATTTTGCAGCATCCACCATATTCACCGGATCTCTCGCCGACAGATTTTCATGTTTTTTTTTTCAAGCATTTAGAGTGATTTTAAAGAGGCAAACACTATGAAAATGAAGACGATATCAAAGTTTATTAATTCTAAAGACAAAAATGTTTTTAAGACAGGCATCTACGCTTTAAAATCTCGTTGGGAGAAGTGTTTTGAAGCGAATGGAGCATACTTTAAACTTTTACACAATCACCAACCTAATAAAACAGAAAAAAATAAACGATTTAGCCTATCTAGCATCTTCATTTATTTTACAAATTCTTTATTTTGCAATATAATTTCTGCAATATATTTTCATTAATACGTCTCTTAGCAGAAATTATCAATGTTGGTCCTTGTTAGTAATATTTTTTTTTTCAAATTCAATGACATTGACAACGTCATCCGGGGTTAATGACCATTGAATACAATTATTTTCCGTGATAAAACGATAAATATATTGTTCGAAGGATATTATATAATATCAGTTATTTTTATAAAATATGTGTTTACATTTAATTATAGATTTGTTTGTTTTTTAAAACACCTCATATATTGATTACCGTTAATATGCCCTTGTTTCGAATAGCTCAAACTATTACAAACTAGATATTTAACTTTACACTTTATCAGTATCAATGCAAACAATTATTTGTTGCCTTTACGACTAAACTAATTACTGATATTTAAAACAATTAAAATAGCAATTGTTACTAGCTACTACTGTAGCTATAATTAAAATAATTAATCAATTAATTGTAATAACAAAGTATCTGTCACATACCATATTTGAAATGATTTCCGATTTATAGATTGGCGGATTTGGTTACACGTTTTTTGTAGCTAAAAATAAAAAAAAATAATTTTTAAAATATATATCTTTGTAAATAAAAAAATTCAGTTTAAAAGGTAAATTTTAAAATATCTAGAGACAACTCTATATATATACAGAGTCTGCATTTACCAAAAATAATTCCTGGGAAAGAAGCAAATATTTCCAATTTTATTAAATATCAATTCCCCGTGAATTTTCTCCCCCTCCACTTTCGATTTATTAAAAAAAAAACATTTCACATTATCACGTCCGGTCCGAAAATGAAAAAAATTCCCCAATATAAAAGTGAATTATTCCAACTGAAGGAAAGTGAACAGTCCCCAGTTCACTAGTGAGATTTTTCACTAGCGATTATGCAGAATAATGCCATTTATTAGGCTTATTAAATCCGCAAGAAATCCCTAACAATTTAAAACAGGCTATAAAATAAAATTTCCTCCTCTTAATTATTTTCAGCTGATGACCCTAAACCATGCAAATATGGTGAAACGGAGTGTATTGGAAAATTATTTAATTATTTTGTTACTGAAAAACATAGTGGTAAGTTTAGGAATTTGAATATTCTTTTTCTGATATTTTCCCTGCTTCTCCTATTAAAATTTGTAATATTTTATTCTGCAAAATTATCATCATCATAGGTGACAAGAATTACGATTTGACATCTATTGATCCATTACCGATTGACAAATTGGTCGTGAGCCGAGGCGAAGACAGTCCAGTAAATATTAAATGTGTGCTAACAAATGCTGATATTAGGGGTGTAAAAACTTTAAGATTTGAGAAAATTAAGTAAGTCTTAAACTAATTTAAAAACAAAGAACATTTCTAAATTTTACAAATCTTTTACTTTAAAAAGGGGATTTGGCAAGGAAATTGCTGGTATTCATGAAATTTCTGGCACTTCTGATTACCTTACAATGTCCGGACACTATAACATTAGTGGCAAAGTATTGATTTTACCCATACAAGGATCGGGTAATGTTAACTTTACAATGGGTAAGTTCCACCAACTGTTTGAAATATTTCTTAACATTTTTTTGTCTGTTTAGTGAAACCGAAATTCCGCATTGGCTGGACTGGTGTACCATACGAAAAAGATGGAGCCACCTATATGAAAGTACAAAAATTCTACATAGATGTGGAACCCGAAAATATTTTATTTTTCTTTGAAAATCTCTACAACAACAAGGAATTAAGTGATAATATGAACAAATTCTTAACGGAAAATTGGCAGGAAATTTATCCGGAACTTAAACGTCCATTGACACACGGTGTCAGTCAGTTTGCGGGGAAAATTGTCAATAAAATGTTTGCAAAATATCCCTATGAAAAATATTTTAGTGATACAAATTAAAAATATGTGAGATTATTACTTGTGTATATTTGAAAAATAAATTAAATAAATAAAAATAAAGTAAAGCAAAATGGCCTCCAAGAGAGGTATCAAGCATAACTATTGAATAATTGTATTTATCATGAATATAATACACATATATGAGGGACTATAGCTGCAGAAGACCTGAAAGACTTAGATAATTCTAGAAAATTTTAATTTTAAGGAATAAAATTTGTACTTTCCAAAAGACCTAAAAATATTTTCTACATATTCAAGACCTCTGGTTGACCTTAATTCCTTTAAGATCGCTGGCAAGTATTTTATATCTGCAGGATATATTTTACTTATGTCAAAATTGAATAATTGTTAATTGAAATCGATTTAAATAATGTCTAATGATGATTTCTATCAGATCTTCTACGTATAGCAGAACTCTGGATGGAAAGCAAAAAAAAAATTTTCTCATTCAATAGAACATCTAGAAGGATTCCATATCTAGAAAATTATCCGGAAGATTTCACAAAATATCAAATTGATAGGTTCATGCCACGAAACACCTCTGTGCCAGACTATAAACTGATGGGTCCAGAGTTCGAACACCAGCTTAGAAAGAAAATAATTCATTCATATAATTGTAAAAAGAGGCGTATCTCCCCTCCCGTATGGAATGCATACAAGTCTCCCTGACATTATAATAGCCAAAGTCAACACATAAGGCCATGAGAATGACAGGAAATAACGTCACATACTTGAAAATGGCAACACTAAATAAATAAACGAGGACCCCAACCACTGTTCACAATTTAAGGAGTCGTTGTCTCTAGGCAACATTAGATGGCAGACCCATCACATATGACAGGCTACAGCAGACCAATAATCTACATTATTAAAAGTGTTTTATCTGTAGAATACCTCTGTAATACCTTCAATCAATAGAGGGAGACCTCACTATAGTTTACTCCGATAGATGACAGCCCCATCACCTAGTACAGGCTACAGCAGACCAATAATCTAGATCACCATATTTTTTTTATCTGTAAAATACCTCTGAAATATCTTCAATCAATAGAGGAAGACCTCACCCCATCGAATTAAATATTTGTGTTCGTGTCTGTTCAATTTACACGAAATCGTTTTCCATGTAAACGTTTTATTTAAAATTTGACACCTATCAATTGGAAACATGCAGGGTCACAATTTAATTTGCAGCTATATAAATAGGATCAACTAAATACAAAGTTAGTCTAATTTATATTCGGATACTATAATAATAACCAAGCTCAAGAAAATGGCTAAAATATATTGTGATATTTGTGTTTTAAGTATTTTAATTGTCGGAATCCTTGGGGAATTTCGTAAGTGTAAAAAAGAGAGACAAGTATAAAAATGGATAAAAAAAAATCCCATTTCATCAGATTACATATCTACAGTTAAATAATAATTGATATGTTCCAGAGCCTGCAAATTCGTCTATTTCTCAAAATACTTTTCGATTTATCATTTATACATTAGATTTTTTCCGGTTTTTGAGTACACGAACCGACCAATGACATTTCTTGCTATTTTGTCAAGTAAAACTAGACACGAATTTCTGGCTCTTTGAGAGTAAAATATCTTTAAAACATTTAATGTAAACAAATCATAATAAAGTAGAGATATCAGTTGTTTTATATTATCAGTTGTCAGTTGTATGGAATATAACTATGTCTAAAACAAAAAACTGTTGCCTACTTCTAGGAGTTAAAAGAAAATTATTACCAAAAATGCTGGGTGTTTCAAAAACTCGAAAATTAATAAAGAAATAATTAATTTATTTTCAGCTAACGAACCCCAACCCTGTAGGTTTGGTGACACCGAATGTATCGGTAAAGTTATCGAATATCTAATGAGTGAAAAATATGACGGTAAGTGAAATAACAAATACTTCTGAAGTCAATTTTATAACTCCAGGACTTCCATGGAAAATAAACAAGAGTTAAGGGGCTATCACGTGCTTTAGAAAGAGATTTTGAACTCAGCAGAACGGAACATTATCCAAAAAGAGGCAAAATCGCATTATGAACTCATTGTTCTTCGCCAGGGTGACAATCATTCGAGAGATTTATTTTGCATTTTCAGGATACATATATACGAGTATTTATAAAAAAACTCATGTTTTTATTTGTGGAACTGATTGCGAATGATCATCGAAGATAACATCGTTTCTCTAATTACAGGTGATGAATCCATGAGTTTAAAACAAATTGATCCATTACTTTTGGGGACCGTTCGCATTCAGCAGGGTGAAGATAGTCCAGTGAATGTCGATTTAATATTAACCAATAATTCCGTACATGGCTGGAAAACTGCAAAGGTCGTAAAAGTCAAGTAAGATTTTATGACTAAATACCCCTACATATTAAAAAAAAAAGATGAATGCAACAAAAGATTCTAGGTTTATTTTAATCTAGGGTTTTGCACTCTTAGTGGCATAAAAATTAATTTAAACAAATTTATTGGCAGAATAAAAAATTTTGTGGTTACGAATCTTCAGTAATTTAAAAGAAATAAGCACTAGAAATAAAACAACAAGGATAATTTTTCTATCTGAAAAACTATTAAATTTTTGAGCGAATTTCGTCCGAAAATCGGTTAAAAATTTTTAGATCAGGATTTAATATTTGTGCGATTTTCTTTTCCTTTTAGAGGATTCGATAAAGATATGACCAAAAAGAATCAATTGATTTTCAAAGTCGATTATTTAAGTTTAGTCGGCGACTATTCCATAGATGGTAAAATTTTGATATTACCCATTAAGGGTAAGGGACAAAGTAATATAACCATGGGTAAATAAAAAAAATTAGAAAAAATATGCGTCCCTTTTATTCCACTTTTTTCTCTTCTCCTTTGCAGTTGATGTCACCTTCCAAATGGATTTTGTCGGCACCCCTCTGGAGAAGGATGGTGAAACATATATGACCATAAAGGATATGCAATTGGATGCTGAACCATCCCAAATCGTTTATATTGTTGAGAATCTATTTAATGGTGATAAAACCCTGGGGGATAATATGAATTTATTTCTAAATGAAAACTGGAAGGATCTTTATCAGGAGGTAAAAGCATCACTGGCCGATGGGTTTAGTAAAATTTATGCTGATGTTATCAATGATGTTTTTAGCAAATTTCCATATGAGAAATTCTTTGCAGAATAAAAAATGTTGTTTTTTTTTAACTTGGTATAAAATTAAATAAATGTTTAAGAACAATAATTTTCAAAGAAAATAATTTTCACTAAATTCGACGTAAGGTTTAATGAATTCCGCCTTATATAGTTTTAAGATATCGAGAGTTGGGTAGATCCAGAACGAATTAGTTCAACGGAACTATTAGGATAAAGGAACGATAAGAACTAGTTCCAATAGTTCCCTTTTCTGAACTCGTTCCTTTATTACCATATTCTTAATTCTTTTTTAAAAAATATATAAACCCATTCTTGTCAATTTATTATTGTGTAAATAACAATATTATTTATGAAAATAAGGTAAACAAATATTTTGTGTTTATGGTCCTGCAGTGGAACACTGTCGCTCCAGAATATTCTACTAAATGTATAAATTAACTATCTAGTTCTAGTTCTTTGAACGGTTCGATCTTTTTCAGTCCGCTCAGCAAAAGGAATTAAGTCGTTCCAAAGTTCTTTTTAGTTCAATCGTTCACTGGTACACGACAGTAGTTCATACCTCTTTTTCTTTTTTTGCTTGAATTATGTACAAACTTAAATTATTACTATATTTCATTCATCAATAAAAGAAAGAGATAACTAATATAACATTAACTGATTCACATATATGAGTTGGTGGAACGAAATAAACAACAGGAGCAAAAATGACTAGGTGAACGAGTGTAAAGAGGAACGAGGGACAAAAGGAACTAGGTGGAAGAGAGCAAGAAGGAACGACTGGAGCAAATAGAACTAGGTGAACGAAATATTCGGAAACAGTTCCGATCGTTCCTCGTTCGGAATAGTTCCTTTGAAATAGTTCATTCCGGAACGACACAACTCTACTTGCAATATACAACCATAGACCAATACATTAAGGTTCAATATGTGTATCTATATTCCCTATGGAAAATACATTTTTCCACGTTCTTTCTACAAGTTTCCATTTTTATATAATAATTTGATCTTTCAACCAGACATATTACAATTCCACGGATATTGCAAAAAAAAAAAAAAATATTTTTAAATACATTGCCCCACGTTTTAAAAAAATTTATAAATTAATTCAATTTATTTTTTTTATTTCAAATAAAAAATGTGTAATATAATTTATCAGTTCAATTAAATTCTCACCAAACACCTTTTAGAATAAAATATATAATTTACTGCGTCAGTAGACAAGTTTGGTGGTAATAGCATTTCATTTCTTCTGTATATCTAGATATTTGCAAGTAATGATAACCTGATAAATAATCCTATAATTACAAATCCCGTTTCTTTTTCTGTTTGTTTATTGTAATTTCTAACACCTTGCTATAATTAAGCTTAAATTAAATTATATTTCAATATTGAAACGGGGATTGTTTGTGGTACAGAAATGTTTCTATAATAAAAAAAGATATGCATTTTGAGTCTTAATAATTTCCAATATACGTATGACTATGGGCAAAGCATTGGCATCTTACTTGGCTAATCCTTGTGTTAATTTCGTAAATCATTTCATTGTTTTTATGCCAGTTAAGAAGATGATTGATGTGCTGAAGCGTGCCCTTGGTGATGGGCCTGCCATCTATCGTCGCCTAGTAACTATGTATCCTTTGAATTTGTACAGTGGTTATGGTCCTTGCTTGTTTAGTGTTGCAATTTTCCTCTTTGTGACGCGCTCTCCTAACATTCATAGTATGTATTACCCTCATGTGTTCATGACGCGATTTGTTATTGAGATTGAAAGGGAAAAATGGTATATGTTTTTAAAAATGCTGCAGTTATGGCATTGGTTTCTAAAATATACATTTTCGGTCGAAAAATAAACAACTTTACTCAATGGGATTGGGAGATTTCTTTTCAATGACAGATGATTTTCCCTAAATCAATTATGATAACTTGCACTCTGTATGACATTTTTCTTCATGATTCATACCTTCTTTTAATACAAATTACGTTGGCTCTAAAGTTTACTGATATTTGTTATAAATTCTGTAGTGAATGATTCTTAGGAATATTTTGAGACCGCTGTTCGTTACATTGTCTTAATTGTTTTTCTTTTTCTGAATCGATTCTTTTAGGTTATGATTCCCAATCAACAAAATTCTCCTCAAACAAATTCAAACCAGTGCTGAATTTGTGTTTTTTTTCTGTCCATGGATACGCAATAAATTGCAAATTAACTGTTGTTTTAATAAATTTGAAAAATGTTAATAAAGAAATTATAACAAATCTATAGTCAGACCTGAATATAATTAGTATCTGGTTATATTTTATTTATCTATTGTCTGAAATAAAATTTTACCCTGATGGGCTACTTGTCACATTTGTTGTCAAACTGGAAGATGTTTGTTTTTAACATCGAAAACAAACTAAAAATTATGAATGAAAATCTAAATTTTGTGTGTTAGTATTCCTAATATATTTTAATAAATTCACTATAATGTCGGTGTTTTGCTACTTTTTGCCCCTCCAATTCCAATCAAAGTTTTTCATTATTTATTTGTCTTAAATACTCACGACATATATATATATATATATATATTTTATTTAAAAATAAAATGCAGTTCAAAAGACAATTCGAAGGAGTAAGGGATCTAGTTCATTATTCGATTAATATAATATTTCCCAATCATAAAAAATCGTAATGAATTACAATGGAAACAAGTGCCACAATAACTCAAAAATCTACTCGATGCGAAAATTGTGACCCAAAATTGAGATGAAAGAATAATTTTCACTCATTCTGGTTCCACTGTAATTGTTTAATTTTTATTGCAGTGTCTAGTTCTAAATTGAAACATTAAAATACCAATTATACGTTCATTAAAATTTGAGTAAATCGACCTAATTAGCAAGTTATTGATACTCTTCGAATGGTCACCCTACAATGTGGGATTATTTATCGACATTCATCGATAAATATTCTATAAATTGAAGAATTATTCAATACTCAGACGGCTCGAGGGAGAAATATTTGCTCCATAAGACGCAAATTCGCAATCTCATTTGATATTTTTGAGGTTTACGTTTTTGTCACGTTGGGCGCTAATTTTTAGTTTTCTTTCCTGATTCTCAAGACTTACGTTTTTTTGTGGTACCTCATATATGAACATAATTTCCACAGTGTAGATCATAAAATATTTAATTGCCTAACATAAATATATGTCCATTATTGCGCGTAAGTACTAATTACTAACCGTCTCAGATACGCCATTTTCGAACAAACGAGAAAGACCATTAAGTGAACCAAATTGCCCATATTCACTTTTCAGAATCGCAAGTTGATGTGGCAACAACGAGGGAAAGCTTCTTTTATGCACGGAACTCGAAAATAATCATTTGGAGGCGTCGTAGCAATTAAATAATTAACCCTTATTATAGCGTACAATTACCATTTAAATGTATATAGCTTTCGACAAAATCTTTTGAAGTCGATAATAGGTGATGGTTTTTTTTTAATTTACCGGCTATAATTTTGAACTCGGACAAACGTGAGGGCCTTAATTGTCTTCTTGTTTATCCTGGGATGCTCATTACTATAAATTATGTATAATAAATGTTAATGTAAATGTGGCGCCCAACGCGACGAAAACAAAAATATTATTAAATATCAGATTAAAAAAAAAACAAAATTTCAAATAAAATAATAAACCAATGAGGTCGCATTAATCGAATGTAGGGTTATATTCTCGGGAATAAAAAAATCAATGCCAATGCGTATGCATTTGCTGATGTCAATTGATTTAACTCGTTTTCACAATTTGCAGATACTATGACGTTTCAAATATTCAAAAATAATATCAGTTAGGTATAAAAACAAATCGTCGCCTTCACATTGTTACAGTTAAGTGAAGTCTTCGATTTTGGCCAGCACAAATCCTACAGTAAAGATGAATTATTTTGCAATTGCAATTATTTGCAGTGTTTGGTTCGCAGCGGTCGTGGTACGGGCCGATTATCGTAAGTAAAAGTTAATATATTAAATAAATACATTTGAGAATCAAGGAAATACAATTATTGGATATTCTGTGATCAGTTTCCGAATCCCTAAAAAATGTATTGCAATATTAGAATGTTAGCACCTATAAAACAAATTAAATTAAAATTATATTCAGAAAATGTACATTTTCCAATAAACCGTGATCACAACTTTTCTAAATCCTGTATTCTAAAAAAATATATTAATTAAATTCTATTTTCTACTTTCAGCCTCCGATTTCCCAAAATGTAAAAATGGCGACAGTGCCTGTCTGGTAAAGACGGCCAATGAAGTTGTTCATAAATATCATACCGGTAACAGGGATGTAAATCTAATACCATTCGATCCATTGCGTGTTAAAGTTTTCGAATTGGAAAAGAATCCCTCAAGTCCAGTTAATGTTGGTTTCAAATTTAACGATATCGAGGTATATGGATTGAAAAATATGCATGTCACTGCATTTGAGTAAGTTAATTATTTCTATAAAAATTACACGAAATTGAAATTAATTATGAAAATATAAAATCACAGTGGACTAAGGGCCGACATGAAGGGACGTAACAATTTCGAGGCTACCGTACCCGAAGTAATAATTAAGGGTCATTATCAATTGGAAGGACGTGTTTTATTACTGCCCGTGGTTGGTAATGGACAAAGTGAAATTAAAATAAGTAAGTTCAGCTGCTATAAATTCAAAATGATATTCAAATAATCTATAACTAATTTCAATTTCATTGCAGAAAATGTTAAAATCAAATATGCATTTGATTTCAAACCTGTCGTAAAGAATGGCAAAACCTATGGCACACTGGAACATGTCAAAATGGAATTATATCCAGGAGAGACTCATTTCCATTTCGATAACCTGTTCAATGGCGATAAGGCGTTGGGTGATAATATGAATGGATTTATCAACACTAATTCCAAGGAGATTACAAACGAGTTAATACCTAGCTTTACAAAATCCCTGAGTTTGCTGGTGAAACAAATGATTAATGCCTTCTATGAGAAACATCCATATTGTGATCACTTCTTGGAACCATGTGACATTTAGATGTGATTCTTTTGAAAATGTATTATGCATACGCACAAGTATTCTGTTAAATTGTTGTTATAAATAAAGTATTTTGTTTAAAAATACTGGTTTAGAATTGAAACGGAAAAAGTGTGAATTTCTTATATAAAACGGCATTTACATTAGAACCAGGTTAACCTACTTCCTGAGGGGTTTTTTGGCATATTTTTCAACCACTGGGTTGACGGAATGTAAACGTTTTGTAAGTTATTCTTTATTTATTTGACTATATTCTATACCAAAATTATCCAGAATCAAATTAAGGCGCTGGGAATTTCAATGGCACTCTCTATTCAAAACGTAAAATATATAATAATTTTTTTTAAGAAAAATATATGATAAATAAATTAGTATCTTATTGACTGACTTCTTTGCGACTCTTGGACACAATTCTGTTTGAACTCTGAAGAAAAATTACAAGTGTTAGAACATCAGGAAAAAGTCCTTAATGTTTTTGAATCGAGAAATGAAGTGATAAAAACGAGGGATAGCTTCTTCAAATTAACCCTCATTATAGCGTACTATTACAATATAAATTTATGTAACGTTTGACTACCTACGTATATGAAATGAAACTGGCCAATTGCGAATTTCCCCCCAACTTAAAAATTCTGAATTAGAGAAATGATGGAGCCACAATTTGAAACTCAGTCAGTATAATTACTCACTAACCGAGTTTCTTAACGAAGTCAGTTCTTTTTACCAGGACACTTGTAATCTCTTCCGGGGATTATATATTGAGCAGTATATAAGTCTTTATTGCAATTGCTTGCCGATACAATATTTAATAAAATTGTATTTTTATCTGAAAAATATATTCATTACGTAGAAGTCCTATCGATAAAAATGTTGTCAAAACAGAAATTTATTTCTTTATCTATGTATTTATATTATCTTCCGATATCATGATTCATCTACAGATAACCCTTTCGTTAGATATTCTAATGTGCTATCAGCTGGATTAATGGAACACACTTCACTAATAAAATTTAAATGGCAATGACATTTATGAGATTGTTTTCCTGTATCACGTATAAATAAACAAACATTCTGACGAAATCTGCCGGCTTATGTTCTACAAACCGAATAATTTTACATGAATACAAGCGAACTACATGCAGGTAATTAAAATTAAATTAATTTGAATGGGCTCGTGTTGAAATATGACTTATGACACAATTCGAACTGATGATGCATTTCAAAGTAGAACGCTAAAACTGACATTTTGTTGTTGGGCTCGTAATATTTACAAGATAGTTATTATTCGTTGTATTCGAATTTTAATAATCTGGTATATGAGAATGTGATATTATTACAGAATTTAAGTAAGGAGTGGAATAAAAATATTGAAATTTATATAAAATTTGGAATTTTACAAAAAAAGCTGTAGTTGAATTTCAGCTTTAGTGTTGTCAAGTCCTAATCATTGACGTTAAAATGAATTATTTCCCAGTATTTGGTTTGCTAACAATTTTGGTGGTGGTACAGACACAGTTTCGTAAGTTCATATTACTTCAAATATTTAATTTTTTTAATAAACAAATTTTTATTAGCTCCCAATTTTCCAAAATGTAAAAATGCCGATGAAATATGCATTATCAAGGCCACGAATGATGTGATACAAAAATATTATGGCGGTTTGGCAGAACTCGATTTAATACAATTTGATCCTTTGCATATAAAAACAATGAAATTGAAAAGAAATCCCAAGAGTCCTGTCAGTGTGGAAGTTGATCTAAGTGATTTGGAATTGGAGGGATTAAAGACAATGAAGTTGGCTCATGTTCAGTAAGTCTAAATTTTTTTCCTTCAATTTATATTTAAATTAATTAATTTTCTCTTCAGGGGTTTTAAATCTGATCTTAGTGGTCGTAATTCTCTGAGTGGAACAATTGATGATTTGGCTTTCAAGGGTCATTACATTATTGATGGCAATGTTATGATACTACCCGTTAAGGGTAATGGTACTTTGAGATTTACATGCAGTAAGTACACAAATATATATAGTACTTTGTATTTAAAATTAAAATCATTTATTCCCTTTAGAAAATATAAAATTTAAATATGCCTTCGATTTAAAATCTCTACAAAGAAATGGTCTAACCTACGCCGCCTTGGAACGTGTTAAATTGGAGGTAGAACCCGAACATGTGGACTTCCATTTCGATTCGTTGTTCGATGGAGACAAAGCTTTGACTGACACCACAAATGAATTTATCAATGCCAATTGGAAGGAATTGTATCGTGAAATACAAGTGGATTTATCCAAATCTATTAGTTTGATTGTCAAGTCATTGATGAATACATTTTTCAAAAAGTATTCATATGCTGATTATTTTATGTAAATAATAGAAATATTATATTATAATTAAAATAAATAAAAAGTATAAAAGTAACAATAAAAATGGTGCTATAATACGTTATTTTTTTCATTTTAATATACATATATAGAATAGTAAAGATAATTTTTCATTACCGAAAATATTGTTATAAAAATCGAAAGAATACAAACCGGCGGACTACTCTGAAAAGTTGATTACAATTATATAATATCGTTAAAATTCTAAGGGGTGTATTCGTAAATATTTCTAGTTACATAAAATCAGGACTCAAAAGGTACTCCTTTATATATACCTCCACCAAAATAGACGCATTTTTCCAAATAAAAGTCTTATTCTTGTTTTCGCCATACTACTAACGTGGAGTGTTTGGATTAAAATTATGATTGGACAGATTCTATTATATTGCTCTTAGTATATAGATCTTATAATACCTTCCATACCTAGTTAAGATACATATTGGTATTCTATATGTGAGAAATATTCGAAATATTCAATACATATTTACCCTATTTCGATTGTTTGATATTCGCATTATTGGGCGGCTGTGTAGAGCCATCTGTGAGTAAAATAATTATCTGTGCATATTAATGCATTGCATATTTTTAGGCGTTTCTTAAAACAATATAAATATATAATACGGTATTTGAACTGATACAATACGCAATATAAGTTACTTGGCTTACTTAGCTGGCTTGTGACAGAACATTTGTTCAATAAGCCGAGCTTAAAAAAGATTTCGAGGCGTAGCTCTTCCAATTTGAAAGACCATGTTCCGAAGTGTTGTCTTCCACTTAGTATTTCCATCGAATTCGTGGCCTTGCCTTCTGCGTGAACCATCACTTGACTCGCTTTTATACGCCTTTTGTGCTGGGGCATCCTCATCCATCCATTCATCCACAAGATGACATAGCCAACGTAGTCGCTGCAGTTCGATACGTCAGACTATGTCGATGTCAGAGAATAGATGGTACAACTCATGGTTCATTCGTCGACGATATTCACCGTCGATGCAGATCGGCCCCCAAGATATTTCGGAGAATTTTTCTCTCAAATACTCCAAGAGCTGCCTCATCTGCTTGCGCAAGTACCCATGCTTCGCATCCATAGTATCAGCGTCTTGTAGAGTGTGCGTTTGGTCTGGTGATAGGTGGCCTAGTTTTTGAAGCATCTGGTGGCCAACACTATTCTTCTCCGGATTTTAAAGGTTCACTACCTCGAAGTTGTAGTTTCCACAGTTGGTTCGAGCCTTCTGGACGATCAGCTTGGTCTTCTCTCCATTTACTGTCAGTCCAACTTTGACAGACTCCTTCTCAATTCGTTCAAAGGTGGCTGTTACCGCTCACTATGTTCGACCTATTATATCGATGTCGTCGGCGTAGGCGAGTAACATGTGTTGTTTGGTGTACAGGGTACAATTGCTGTTCACATTTGCATCTCGTATGACTTTACCAGTAGGATGTTAAAAAAAAAGATCAAAGATCATTCAGACAAACTGTCACCTTGTTTGAATCTTCGTTCGGTATTGAAGGACTTCGAGAGATCCTTTCTGTCTTTAACTGCTGCCCTTGCACCAGATAAATTTTGCCGAACGTAGACATAACAAAAACACGAAGTAAGGAGAGTGACGGAGAACGATACAAAACACAGCAGACCAGTGAATGGTGGTTGTGCTTTTTTGGTTTTTGTTTTTTTTTTCTTGGGAGGAATACATTTGTTTTTGTCAAAAAAAAAAGAGATAGGGAGAGGGAAAATTAACGCAAATAGTGGTAAAGTAGAGAGAAGTAGGAAAATAGTTGTGATAATAATGAAATGTTTACTTTTTTGAAAAAAATAGTGACTTTCTCATGATTATATGATTTTCTCTTGTATTCGATGCGAGGTACATGTAAAATATGGAAAAATAACTATGAATGGAATTATGAAAATATTAATTTCAGTGTATACTAAAAAGTGGACCAATATTTCATATATAATCCTTTAAATTTACTGTACCTCCCGAATACAGAAAATTGTTCTATGTTTACGGGAAAAAATCAGGTCACAATAGGTAAAGGGTAATTGAAATGCTGAGATCTAACCAAGTGAGTAATAATTATTATAATTTTCTATACAAAAATTATATTTTTAGAATGTTTCTTGGGATTTCAAAAGAGTTGAAACAAATTTATAATGTTATGGAACATGTTAATCAATCCTAAATTCAACTTCAATCGACGCAACAAATTCCAAGATAGATTTTTCATATTTTTTAAAATCGTCTCATCTCTTGTCGACCTCTTTTTTAAGTGCAATGCTATCGAAGGGGGTATCGGTAACTTTCCTGTATATTATGTATGGATGACTCAGTTTTTCCACATTGATTCAATGTACTAGACTCAAATATGAAATATGCAATTTATGATCATAACATGAAAGTAAGAATGATATATTTTCATGAAAATTGGAAATGAGTTGCAGGTTTTTTATAGAATGTATATCTCTTAATAACAGAAACAAATTGATTCCTATTTTATAACATAAGTATTACTATTTATTGCGCTTGACCGAAGATCAATTGTGACTAGACTATTCTTATTTGATTTATGTATTAACAATTCATTCACTAAGACCATAGATGGTCCGTCAGAAATAGTGACG